TCACACCATACATATGGCGTACCAACAAGTACACTAAGTACGACTCAGCGCGTGGTTTATTGCTTACTTTGAGCGTACAATGTTTTCTACGACACAGTATATATACCATCATAGATTGCATATGCTCACAAGTAGTCAAATACACAGGTCTCTTATGAGGTAACCTACCTAACACTATCCCCACTTGTTACCGCGTCTTGAAAGTCTTCCGTGTGCTCGACCTCTTCGGCCACAGATTCTAATGCCGGCTAAATATACAAAATAGTAAACGGTAGTGTATGATCTATAGACTGAGCATTCTTATGGTATGCGCACTCACAGCTAGTAAAGATTCAGTAGGACTGCGTGCACCAAAACCTATACCAAAGCTTACCACAAGGATCACAACCACCCTCTTCACCACAAGAATCACATAAACCCCCTACATACACACCACAAGGGTCATAACCCCCCCCCCTACATACACACCACAAGGATCATCCCTACATACACACACATACCGAGTTCAGGGGGCCCTTTCCTTTGCTGAGTGCGTCTCTGCGTCGCAGTGTGTCCAGCAGAACGATTTCGTTGTCAAAGTCTGCACTCGAGTCATTGACGTTGACGAGTGACCTGCACGAACAATGCGAGTGCAACCACACGGCAGAGGGTTACTGATAGATTCCGGTTACATAGGTAGGTATGTACGTTCTATAAATAGAATGCGGGTTGGATAATCCATTCCGGATAATAAAATTCAGGTAGGCGAACTTATTTCGGATGATAGGTTTAGGTAGGCAAATGGATTCCCAACAACAAAATCAAGGTAGGTAAATCAATGTAGGTAAATCCCTTTCTAAGTACAAAAAATCAAGGTATGTGAATCCATTTGAACCAGCACGCCACCCGCGCATGCTCAGTTTAGGTGATACCAGAGCATAGCAGTTGCGAGAGCGTGAAGTGTGCACTGAGTGTGTCCAAGGCCTCTGGTAGTTGTTGTTAATGTAACATGTGTTACAGGGTTTAGGGTTGCACTACGTCCACGCATTCGCTCACACGCTGCCATTAAACGCACTCATAGGACCATTCATATCCGCAACAACCTCAGACACCTCTACACACCTCTTCACCAGTGTGTGTATATCGCAAATACACCAACATAGCCGCCGCACTAGCAGGACATCTCGCGAGCAACACATAGAATATATTACAACCCGTCTGTCACATTCCAGTACAGATACGGTTAATGAAGCACCACACCTATACCTATCGACGTAACATGCAGCACCTACTGATAGTTTGTCTTTGCTTTGTAGCCAAACGCTAGATACCACGGTCCGTATGTGATAGTCAACGACCCTATGTTGACCTCCTTGTACGTAGAGGACGCGCTTAAGACATATTCATTCGGTTCATCGTCTGTGTCCGTACCCTCCACAGCACTGAGAGAATGGTTAAGTGAAGTATATGCACTTCATGAGTGTGCTGGTGTATGGGAGTGGGTTACACATGTGTATGCACGGGTTACACATGTGTATGCACGGACTATGTGTATAAGCGTACACGCACTGAGAGGATGGTTAAGTGAAGTATATACATTCTATGAGTGAGCTGGTGTATGGGAGTGGGTTACATATGTGTGTGCATAGGCTATGTGTATAACCGTACAAGCACTGAGAGGATGGTTAAGTGAAGTATAAACACTTCATGAGTGAGTATTTGTATGGGAGTGGGGTATAAATGTGTATGCATGGGCTATGTGTTTAAGCGTACAAGCACTGAGAGAATGGTTAAGTGAAGTATACGCACTTCATGAGTGTGCTGGTGTATGGGAGTGGGTTACACATGTGTATGCATGGGCTATGTGTATAAGCGTACAAGCTCTGAGAAAATGGTTTAGTGAAGTATATGCACTTCATGAGTGTGCTGGTGTATGGGAGTGGGATACATATGTGTATGCATGGGCTATGTGTATAAGCGTACAAGCACTGAGAGGATGGTTAAGTGAAGTATATGTACTTCATGAGCGAGTTGTTGTATGGGAGTGGGTTACACATGTATATGCATGGGCCATGTGTATATGCGTATAAGCACAGATAAGGTGAGGTGACGGATCAATATGAATAGTACACAAGGACGGACTGATAAGGCTGTGATGGGTCGGTGTGTGTAAATATATATCCAATGAGATGCAAAGATTTGCTACTGTCATCCCTTAAACGCTTTTGTGGGTCTGTATAAAGTGAGCAAATACTGCGAAACCAATGCAGGTGCGTTTCGTGCGTAAAGGGATAAACGTTGCATACATAGCTGGCCATGCAACAGGGGAGAAACCATATATAGGACACTATTCCATACACTACACCACAACGCCCTACACAGTGATGCATACTGAGTATTGCCCTACACTACTCCTGTGTCTCATGCCCTGGACAGTTGGACCGGTATTGCGCATATAACCACCAATACGTATGAGGTAGGTATGGGCAAGAACATCTATGACTGCACTGTACAAGATTCGACAGGATATATTGCGTTGGGTGAAATCGTTGAAGTAGAACGCATCCTTTGACATGTGCGACAGAAAACAATCCACACACCCGCCACAGTATAGTCGTCTAGAGGTTACACGCTGAACTCATAGACGTTTGCCATGGGGCTTGCATGTCCTGCCCTGGTTCCTCAGGACAGGTCATACAGGTTTGCTACTGCGCAGATGACCAGCAATACAACCACATAGAAAAGGCCAAATAGAACACCACCGGATGCATTATTCACTACAACACCATACGAGTACAGTACGTACACGTACTGTTGCATACAGGTACTGTTGTATGCACGTACTGTTGCATACATGTACTGTTGCATACGAGTACAATTGCATACACGTACTGTTGTATACACGTACTGTTGCATACGAGTACAGTTGCATACACGTACAATTGCATACACGTACTGTTACATACACGTACTGTTGCATACACATACTGTTGCTGTGGCCCACATACCCTTCTCGGGTGCCCCAGGAGGTGACATGCAGGTTTGCCACTGCGTAGATGACCAGCAACACGTACGACGTAGGGATGGCCAGGAAGAACACCAGCGAATGCACCAGCACCCAGCACTCGGACGGGTGCAGCAGAGCCGTAGACACAATCAGCGATGCGATGAAGCAGATGAATATGCTACGCACAGGCACAGACAGGCGGATACAGTAGGATTAATGGGGGAGATGAATATACTACGCACAAGCAAAGATAGGCTGATGCAGTAGGGGAAATGTGGGGATGAATATCCTACGCACAGGCAAGGATGGGTGGATGTAGTAGGTTTAATGGGGGAGATGAATATACTACGCACAGGCAAGGATTGGTGAATATAGTAAGTTTAATGTAAGAGATGAGTATACTACGCACAGGCAAGGATGGGTGGATGTAGTAGGTTTAATGGGGGAGATGAACTTACTACGCACAGACAAGGATGGGTGGATGTAGTAGGTTTAATGGGGGAGATGCATATACTATGCACAGACAAGGATGGGTGGATGTAGCAGGTTTAATGGGGGAGATGAATATACTACACACAGGCAAGGATGGGTGGATGTAGTAGGTTTAAAGGGGAGATGAATATACTACGCACAGGCAAGGATGGGTGGATGTAGTAGGTTTAAAGGGGGATATGAATATTCTACGCACAGGCAAGGATGGGTAGATGTAGTAGGTTTAATGTAAGAGATGAATATACTACGCCCAGGCAAGGATGGGTGGATGTAGTACGTTTAATGTAAGAGATGAATATACAACGCACAAGCAAAGATAGACTGATGCAGTAGGTTTAGTGTGACAGATGAATATCTTACGCACACGGTAGGTAAGCCGTTGAGGGGTTGAGCACAATAGCACGCCATACGTTGAGGCGTGGTTGATCGCGTGTGTGAACGTGTTGATTGTGAATTATATAGACTCCCTGGGGTAGTGCTTGGACAAGCATAACCTACACATACGCACAAATGTACGTTATAAATATATTTGCGGCTGCATGCATCTATCCGGCTCTTAACTCGTAGTCTATTCACAGCCATGCACACACAAAGGCGAATTGCCTCGACCACCGTCACAAGCAACTGCACCCGTACAGCCGGAAAACCAGCCCTAACCCAAACCATTGTAAGGAAACTTGTTTGTACTTACACGTGAACCACATCCACGGCACATTTGTATACTTGTATGTACATGCACACGTCTACGCCCAAATCCGCATCCACATATATCCCTAAATACACTCACACACGCATAACCCGTACGCCCCCACAACCTCCCCCCACCGCACCTATCCACATACGAGTTGGGGTTGCTGATGTTCTCTACCACCGTCACGCACAGTCCTACCAGCACAGCCGTCATAGCCAGCGCAAAGACAACAGACAGCAGCGACGCTACGACAATCTGTGTGTCTTTGGTACACTTCATGCACACGAGGCAGAAGCACAGGGCCGTGCACGAGGCCAGGATAGTCATGCCCAGAGAGCTCCAGCCGAAGGTGACATTCAGACCTGTGTGTGCGTGTGTGTGTGTGTGCGTGTGTGTGTGTGTGCGTGTGTGTGTGCGCGCGTGTGTGTATGTGGGTGATATCAAAAGTTATGGGTATGTGTATAAGAACTAGGTATGTGTATAAATTAGTGTAAAAGATTCGTCTGTGTGTGTATGTGCTTCAGCGTATAAGTCATGTGTGTGTGTATGAGAGCAGAATTGGACAGCATGGTTGTGTGCATGAAATAGTTTTCTGTGTGGTGTATGTCGAGTGTGTGTGCGTCATAGACATTGCGTGTCCATGGTAAATGTCATTTATGAGCATCATGGTTGTGTGCGTAAGATAGTTTGTAAGACATATACGTCAAGTCTGTGTAGAAGATGACAAGTGTGTGTGGTATATGACAAGTGTTTGAGGCGTATGTCAAGTGTATATGAGTCGTAGGCAATGTATGTCCTTCGTATTTGCCATTTCCACGGGACTATACCGCAGAGGTGTGTCCGGTGAGCATATAGACTGGTGACATAGTCAAACTATATATATATATATATATATATATATATATATGTTATATAATATAGTATATATATATGTATATAT